AATGGAACAACCCATATCCAAAGCCCAATATACGATTATAAATAAAAAAATCCCAATAGAATGTCCACCCAAATACTTCTTCCTCTTTTAGCGTATAAGCAGGAAAAGGAAAAAAAAGATGAAATCAGCAATCGAGAGGGATAAGCTTTGAGATTGCCGGCGATAATGGTAGAAGTAGAGTATCAGAGTTTATCTAAAAAAGGTGAGCTGGTATTGTACTTAATAAATCACTAGCTTTTTACCCGGACCGTTGGCCGGAGAGATTTATTTTATAATTTATATGTTTAAATCATTTTGGATCTTCTAAATATTTTGTAACAGAGTTTGTAGTATATCTATATTGAAATTTCCAATATTTAGCACACTCACTTGTGATGTTTCGGTTTTCGAATCATAAATTATGTCGCTGTCACGTCCCATTTAGAACTTATGTCAAAATTTGTCAACCAAAACACTAATATTTAGCGTACGCCAACCTAAACCACACACACATATATAGTTCAAGCTAGCGTGCGCCAGGAGTACGTTATACTCTTGCGTTCATACTACCATACGACCATTGAGTTTTACTATTTAGACCCGAATTAGCCAGATTTTTTTGGGGAATTATACTATATCCTAACCTCTAATACGTAAACTCTAGTCCCTAATTCTGTAACCTCTAATTTATGCACATACTTCGTAATACCTATCTTCTATCGTATCTTGAGTTAAATAAAAAGTATAGTATACCTTGATATTACATATATATGTATATTAGACTTAAAATTATCTAGAGATCTCGCTTTTACCCCCATAACGCTAGAGAACCATTGGGGTTATCTATTGTTCGATATATAATATATAAAGAGGCAAATACTAAGATCCTACTACTTATTTCTTATCCTCTCCCGCCGACCCCTTTATGGAGAATAAAAAGGTAGGGATGACAGGATCATAGCTCGATATGGTTTTATTATGTTCATCTTATCGGAGGTTATGTTATTTTTTGCATTTTTTGGCTTCTTTTTCATTCTACTTTAGCACCTATGGTTGTGATCAGAGGTACTTAGCTCTCGAAAGGGATTGAGATTTTAGGTCCTTTGGAAATCCAATACACATTCATGATTCTCGAGTTTGGACGAACTCTCGACCAATGTTGTAAAAATTACGTCTTTTTAGTGAGAAATTCTTAGTAAAGATACTTCATTATTGGATTTATTCATCCATATTGAAACTTGACACACACTGTATCTCTCATGATGACTAAATTCTCTAATCTCGACTCATTTCCATTTTGGATGTTTGTTTTTTTATCCAGACACTTAAATTTAGTATATTATATAATATGTATCAATTGTTAATTTTTGAAGTTTATACTAAACCTCAACCGGTGGTCATTGTTTATGTGTTGACTTAGAATCTCAATCTAAGACACTCACACACGGTATCGAGGATTTTTGGTCTTAACATGGTCATTGAATGTGTAATTTTCAAAGATTTTATCGCTTATATATTAATAATTGATAAAGAGTGTCTCCAATACACACATATTTTAAGTGCATTTAAAATGTCTTATCATTTGAACAATATCAGTGTATTTCATTTGATTATTTGCATTAACTTATTATCTTATACAACATATATTAATCGTTTTTCTCGAGTCTAGACGAACTGAAAACCAATTTTGAGAGTTGAGATTATTGGATAAAGATACTTGATTGCTGGATAAATATGTTTATCCCAATTGACGATCTTACTAAAAATTGCCAACCTTTATTTGGTAAATGCCTATGTTAGTAGTTGATGAAACGTGATGTTTATCGTAGATTCTGAACAAAGATTTTTCTAACCTTCACATCTATTATTTTTCAAGGAATATTGTGTCTCATCCTAGGGTATGAAGTCAAAGTTCGTCAACAATCATACTTAATTCATTTTGAAAATTTTGATTTATAATCGTCGAAGAATACTCCAAGTCTGAAAGAAAATTTCTTAGCATACGACTTAGAACCTCAATAGAGCTTGCTCAATCAACATGATATAGAGCAAATATTATTAATGTGAACTTAGGTCACATTATCAAATTATTGCACAGGCGATTCCTCTTCATTTGAGGAATTTAAGGTAGAACATGATCTGAATGAATAAGAATTTTTTTTAAATAAATAACTGTAACTACTCGATCAAGATTATACTCTGACATTTTGCTAAATAATACTGTTTTATTTTATAGATATATATTGTACGAATAAGAGAATGTTTCATTGCAACAAAATATAAAGTAATATAGTTTATTTTTCAAAGGTAATTGAATGTCAAATGTTTATTTTCTCTCTTTTCATATATATTTTGGTTTAATCGATTAAAACATAATTGTTTATGTGTATGTTTGTTTATTTTTCATCAAAATGTAACTTATCTTTGAATTTTAGTAAAAATGAGTAGAAAATTTATTTCATAAGGTTTAATCAGATATTTTTTATTTAAATAAATGTGATATATGTCACTCTCTTTTTTCTTATTTATATTTTGTTTATTTAAAAAAATTATTATTTATGTGTGTTTGGTAAAGTTTATCAACATGTAACTTATTATTAAAGACAAAAAAGAATAAATGGATAAATGAAAAAGAATAATTGGATAAAAGAAATGGAAATATTAAAGAAGAGAGAGGTAGCTCTATAAATACATTAATAACTAACTTTTTGTTTGTAAAAAAGTTGTCCAACTTGGCAAATTGTGCATCCTCCAAGTGCTTATGTGGCAATAATTTTTTTTTTGAATTGCCATAATATATAGTAGATAGATAGATAGATAGATAGATAGATAGATATAGATAGATAGATAGATAGATATAGATATAGATAGATAGATAGATTGCCAGGGTTTCGCTAGTGATCGATGGGAAAAAGAAGAATGGGAACCCATGCGATGAGAACGCGATGATCGGACGGAGAGCAGGCGCAAAGAAAGATCGAGAGTAATCCAGGGGCGGACCCAGGGGGAAAACGATTATCCAACCTCAGGTGGTAATTTACGTATGGACAAAAAAAATATAATTGATAGTGAGGGACACCCCTTAAGTTTGAAAAAAATGATTATCCTACTGTCATTTGTGTATAGGAATATAAGTAGTAGGTTGGATAATTTAAATCTAGAACACTATTATTATTATTAATAAACCTAATTTCCGTTGAGCTAAACTTATTTGTTGTTCGATTTTGAACAATGTGTAATAGTAAAATGACATTCCCTATCTCTAATTATTTTAAAAACCTAACAATTAAACTAATTTCAAACTACCCTTAATTTGTATTGATTTTATGATTGTACGGCAAGTGTTGAAAGAGTCTTTCAGTTTTGGGTTACATCAAGAACAAGTTTACAAATCGAATATGCGATAAGTTCGTGAATGATTGTCTAGTAGTGTATATAGAGACAATTTTTTTAAACACTGTAGACACCAAGTGTATTCTACAATTATTTCTGAATATGAAAACACATCATGGACTTTTTTAACCTGTACGAGTAAGGTATTTTCATATTTACAATTTTATTTTTATTTAATTTATTTTTTAAAAGAGGACACCCCTATAAAAAATTTCTGGGCCCGCCACTGGAGTAATCCTACACCATTCTTAAGACAGATGAGAACATGCAGTTGTGAATTTGGATTCCGGTATCTATTCCCCTCTCCTTGATCCTTAATTCTCTGATGGCAGCCGAAGACTTAAAAGGGGAAATTGGATTTCTCCATGGTGACAACAAAAAGGGCATAGTGATTTCGATACTAAAGGGAAGAAAAGAGGGGTCATGCCGTGATTTATATTGGCACCATGGTGATCGGAGATGGGTTGGAGATGGAGAGATGGAGATGCAGGGGATAGGGTAAAGGTTGGTTCGTTTTTTTGCATCAATGAAGATAGAGAAACTCTGTAAACGTTTAGTTTTCCCTTAAAGTTTTATTTTATTTAATTAATTTATAGATAGTTCGTCATTCCTAGATGTGAAAAGACCAACTTGTGCGGGCTGTTGAGCAGCATCTTACGTGACAGAATTTTTTGCTTGACATTTCATGTGTAGACTATATGTTTAATTAAATAATGAATGACAATTAATTTTATTTATTTTTATTTATTTATTAATTATATGTAATGCTTATTATTTTTCGCCTTTTTATGGAGATCTAAACATATTATGCATAGTTGAATCATTTTTAAAAATATTATGTGCATAACTAAAGTAGATAACAATTATTTTATGTATTTTAAATAATCTATTATATCTATTATTATATATTATATACTCGACAAAATTCATCGGGCAACTGCTGGGAACGTGCTAGTTTTTGTAGATTTCGAATCAAAATTGTGCGAGTTCCTCTTTCTTTTTCTCTCTAGATTTGCTCGCTCTTTTCCCTTTCCTGGCCATCATTCAATCTCCCTACGCTAGGTTAGGGTTCATCTCCTCTACTTTCCTCTTCCTCAATCGCTCTTACATTGTTAGTGTAAGTTCCCCCACCTCTCCTGTTCGAACCAATGTCATTCTTTCCGACGGAGGAATCTCGCCTTTGTTTGTTGTAATGGAGTCTCGTCCCTAAATTTAAGTCCTGTCTGCTTTACTTATATGGACCAGTGTGAATCGTTCAATTTATCTTCGCCGTTTATCTAAATTCTCACTCTAGCCTTGTTTGACAGTTTCGTTTTACCGTCTTCCACTTGTTGCTTCTATTCTGCAACCAGCTTCTTTCTTTGGGGCGATTTGGGGTTCCAGTGAGCACTAGATCGATAATTTGTTGATTACTTTGGTCTTCCCCGTTGACGGTTTTGCAGTCTGATCACTGAAGTTTGTGAAAGTTTTCCCCCCTGATCGATTTAGGGGTGTAGTGGACCTATGAGCTGGCTGGGGTTCTTCTCATAGTGATCTGCTGATTTTTGCTCATTTCATGGACTGCTTTGTGTTGAACTTTGCTGGTCTTTCTCTAGCTATTGACAGCTTGAATATGTAATGCGTTAAAAATGGACGACGATACAGAAATTGGGATGCCACTCCCTGGTTGGAACAACAAGAATCCAACTGAATCCTATGTTTTCATGGTATCCTGCTTTCTTGCTGCTGTGGTTGGAATTCTGACCATAGCATACACGGCTTTCCAATGGAGAAGGAATATCAATCTAAGTTGGATGAAGGCTATAGCCAGGTCGAAGAAAAATCCAAAGACGAGGCACAAGGTTCCAGCTTCACCCCATACATGGGTGCTTGAATCAGTGTCTCGTGGAAAGAATCTGAATTGTTGTGTTTGTTTGAAATCCATGTGTCCGTCTCAGACTCTTGGCCCTATGGTGGCTTCTGATAGCTTTATCCACTGTTGCAGTATTTGTGGTGCAGTAGCTCACCTTGGATGCTCTAATAATGCACCCAAGGACTGCAAATGTGTTTCTATGGTTGGATGTGATAGTGTCATGCATCAATGGGCTGTTCGGTGGACTGAGATAATGGATCAACCCGATGAAACATCCTTCTGCAGTTATTGTGAGGAGCCATGTAGTGGATCTTTTCTTGGCGGATCACCCATATGGTGTTGCTTTTGGTGTCAACGACTTGTCCATGTTGATTGCCATAGTGGTATGTCCAGTGAAACTGGTGATATTTGTGATTTAGGTCCTTACAGAAGATTGATTTTGTCGCCCCTGTATGTGCGAGAACTTCAGTGGAATGTTCCAGGTGGGTTTTTGAGTTCGATCACTCATGGAGCCAATGAAATTGCTTCTTCAGTGCGTGCAAGTATTAGGAGTCAAACCAAGAAGTATAAACACGGGAACGAAACACCCGTTGACACTGGCGATAGTGGTAGTATTGGTGATCCGTCCACTGAACCCACAGCTGAGACCCATCCTTGTGAAAATTATTGCAATTGTGGTGAGGAAAACTGTGTTGGTAGTCTCAAAGTGGGGAGTCCTTGTCGTGATAGTGCGAATGTGGATAATAAGTTGGAATCAAGACCTAGCTTGAAAAGGAGCGGCTCACTGAATGAAAGGGATGAATCTCATGTCCTAGGTATGAAGCAGAGATACGAGATAATTGATTTGCCATCTGATGCAAGACCCCTCCTTGTTTTCATTAACAAGAAGAGTGGAGCTCGGCGTGGAGACTCCCTAAAGCAACGGTTGAACTTGCTTCTAAATCCTGTTCAGGTTGATCTTTTTCCAGGCTCTTTAGTTTTCCATGATCTTCACTTTTTTGTGCATATTTTTGTAATCAAGCAATTGTGCACTGGCTGCCTCATAATCTTAACACACATCCTAAAATGTTTGGGATACCAGGAAAGGAGAACTGGAAAGGAGATGACTCCTAAAATTCCATTAATTTCTGTGCAACTTTTGTAGGTTGGGATTTTGGGGGATATTTGACCATTATTTTCATAAGGTTCACTTTGACTAACGGTACAGCTGCGATTCAATATTTGCTATGTTATATTTGAATGCATAAAAAGATTGTTGATCAATAAAGCCGAAGTACATAAAATAAAGTTATTACCACATTATGTCTTGTGGTATCTATCATGATTATTAATAGTTATGCAAGGTGTATGTTGTTCTCTTATTTACTTAGTAATCAAATGCTTCAGTTTCTCTGGTTTTCTGCTTGCTGATACATGTTTGAATTAGCTAATCTGGAAATATTAATTTTGGTATCTTTTCATTAGAAAAATGCCTTAGTAGTGTATATTGCTTCTTCATATTGCTAATTCAAGCTCACGCTATTTTTCTGGTTTACATTCCCCCAATTCCATTATAACATGACATTAGCTTATTTTGTGCTCCGTCACTGTCTTACAGGTAATTGAATTGAGTCCAGTACAGGGGCCAGAAGTAGGACTTTATCTTTTCCGGAGGGTGCCTCACTTTAGAGTTCTTGTTTGTGGAGGAGATGGCACTGTAGGGTGGGTTCTTGATGCTATAGACAAACAAAATTTTGTCTCTCCACCTCCTGTATCTATTCTGCCTGCTGGAACTGGAAATGATCTGGCCAGAGTACTCTCCTGGGGAGGTGGTTTAGGGGCACTGGAAAGACAAGGAGGTCTCTGCACCTTAATGCATGATATTGAGCATGCTGCTGTAACCGTTCTTGATAGGTGGCAGGTGGGGATTATCAACAATCAAGGGAAAAAACTCCAATCACCAAAATTCATGAACAACTATCTTGGCAAGTGAATTGCTCGGTGGTTTTGGATTTAATTTCTGGGCTAGTTTTGCTTTTTTTCTGGTTTCTTCAACTAAGCTATGCTGAATAATGTTATGGTTTTGCTTGATTGTGTTGGCTTATTATTTTAGCATTTGTTTGCAGGTGTCGGGTGTGACGCCAAGGTTGCTCTTGAAATCCACAATTTGAGGGAGGAAAATCCTGAGAAGTTCTATAACCAGGTACAGACTGTTTGCATTAACATGAGCTGTGCTTTAAATGGTGAAAGAAACATCACCAGAACCAGGGAGGAAGATGCTTCATGCTTGTTTTCCCTAGACAAGCAAACTAGACTAAAACTATTCAAATTAGCTTGTCATTTTAACTCTAGGAGCATGTTTGTCAAGAGATAGTCTCCTTTTTTATTTATTTATGAATTTGTCAAGTGAGATGGTTAGCTGGATTGATGATGAGGCCTTGGGTTTTTGTGCTTTACATCATATTTTGATTTCACAGCCTAATGTATGAGTCGTCTTGGCTGAAATGCTGACATGTTTTTTTTCAGTTTATGAACAAAGTTCTTTATGCAAGAGAAGGTGCAAAGAATATAATGGACCGTACATTTGTTGATTTTCCATGGCAAGTCAGGGTGGAAGTTGATGGGGTTGAGATAGAGGTCCCAGAGGTAATTTTGATCAAATTCTTGCTCAAGTTTGAATTTTGGTGCAGGATAGGTTTCTCCCTGTATTCCCATTCAGCATGGGAAGTAGGAGGGTTGTAATCAGATTCTGAAAGTTCATTTTAAAGATTTTGTTTCAATGAGAATATGCTCCAAACAATTGAAATTGACATCTTGGTGATAATTAGTAGCAGCTAAACAATAGAAAGGTAAATAACCTGTATTGTATGTCACCTCTAATATAAAGCTTTTCATATTTACTTTTCAACTTTAAGCAAGTTTTACAACCAGGAATTCATCTTTATTGGCTGTATAACTCTGCTACTACTGGATCTATTCTGTGAAGCATTCACATGTAATACTAGGGAAGTTCTTAATGATGGAAAGGTATCTTAGAATAGATTCTGTGTTGAATTGGTATATCAACATTAGTCATTGTGTTGGTAGGTTATACTTTCTCTTGTGACCTTGCAGGATGCAGAAGGTGTACTCGTTGCAAACATAGGAAGTTACATGGGTGGTGTAGACCTATGGCAAAATGAGGATGAGTCTTATGATAGTTTTGATCCGCAATCTATGCATGATAAGTTACTCGAAGTTGTGAGCATATCTGGAACATGGCACTTGGGAAAGCTTCAGGTGAACTACTCTGACGTTGTAAATTCTCTGTATCAGCACTTGACTTTGAGTTTGACATAGCTGTGGGTACAACATAGACTTTTGCTATTTGGGTCCTTTTAGCATATGTACTCAAAGCCATGTCCTTGCTGTTAAATGTATGATAAATTTCTCTGCTGTTTTTGCAACTGAATTTTCCCAGACAGCCTTGTCCTTAATGTGCCGTTCAATGATCTATAGTATTTTGAATAAGCTAGTGGTCTATGGTAAAATTGGATCAATGTTTTACATTGCAGGTGGGGCTTTCACGTGCACGCCGACTTGCCCAGGGGCAGTTGATTAAGATACAGCTTTTTGCTCCTCTGCCTGTGCAAATAGATGGGGAGCCTTGGCTGCAGCAACCATGTACAGTAATTGTATCTCATCATGGCCAGGTAACCTCCCTCCCTCTCTATCCTTTGCTATGTCTTGCAATGACAACTTTATTGGGTCTGAAATATGTTTGTGAGTTCTGCTGTGATGGGATGAGATTCATTCTCGCAGTTATACCCTATAATTTCATAGCAGACAACTTGAGATACGTGAAATGGTAATGAACCGAGCACCAATATGACTGACCATTCATTTTGATGAGGCAGGCCTTCATGCTGAGAAGAGCAGCGGAAGAACCACTTGGACATGCAGCGGCCATTATAGCCGACGTGCTTGAGAATGCCGAAACTGACCACGTTATCAATGCTTCGCAGAAGCGAGCTCTTCTTCATGAGATGGCTCTCAGGCTATGTTGAAGTGCTTCATCAGCCACTCTTCTGTTTTAAGACTGCGGCTTTCTGTGATTTGTTCTACATGATGTTTGTAAATGGAAAACTGCGTTAGATTTTTTATAGGAAAAGCGATTCCCATAACGAAGATGAAAAGAAGGGGGAATTTGAAATTTTGCATATATAGTTGTTATCCACAAATGTTTGCTTTACCACACCCAATGTTGTACATACAAACACATTGGTTCAGTCTTGACATGTGTTAGAAACCTGTTTTAGGGTTCTAACGATCGAGTGATAAGATTGGTAATTGATAGATATTTAGGGATTGAGATAGACTTGGGGAAGAACAGAATTGGGGATTAGGGATTTAGAAGAGGAAATTGGGGATCGAGGAGAAGAATGGCCGACGGCCTATGGATAGGTGACAAATTTGAGAGAGATTAGGGTTTGAGATACTTTTCTGAATAATTGTTCTTGCTTGATTATGAATAAAACGCAAAGTACATATTTATAACGAAAGATAGGAAAACCTAATACTAAACCTAATTCTACTAAAAGACTACTAACCATATTTAATAAAACCTAATAATAATGATAATATAGAAACTCGTTTTCCTTAGAAAACGTGTTTCTAACATCCCATCCCCCTTGATACCAACCTTGCCCTCAAGGTTGATCAGTTCGACCCATTTCTTCAAGCCTACCGTGCAATCCACGTCTTGCCTCCTCCATTCTTGCGCTTTCTTTTCTTCCAATCGTGCTCCACTACTTGAATGAAGCCCACTCCATAAAAAGGGCCAATGTTAAATTACTCATATAAGGCCCAAGAATTGGCCAACGACCCAGATTTGGCTCGGCCATCTTTCTCCCCAACTGCGGCCCACCTTCAGAAATTGGTTCAGCCCACTTCTTTCCCCATTGCAGCCCAGTACTCTGGTCTCCTTGCGGCCTGCTCAACAGATGAAGTCGGCCCAAAACGAGCCCGGTTCGTTCGAGCCCTTGCCGCTCAGCGCAACCCTTAGGGTTTGTGAGAGGATAGGAGGCGCCACCTTCCTCCTTCACCTCCATCGATTTCCACAGTGATAGAAGCAAAGTTCCTATCGGGTTTGATAATTGGGGATTAGGGTTTATACGAACAGAATTAGGGATTTGAGAAGAGAAAGATAGGGAATCGGACTAGGCCTTTAGAGGAGTTGGGAACGAGAATTGAGAGGATTGAGAGAATAGGGTTTAGGAGGGTTTTGTTAATATTCTTCTTATTGATCGAATAGATGAATAACAACGTATATATATAGGAACAGAACCACAAAACCCTAACAATTAACCAAATACGACTAAAAGACTAATTACTCTAATATAATAATAATTATAGAACCCGAACGGAAGTTGGTTTCTATCATTCCCTCCACCTTGAGACCAACCTTGCCCTCAAGGTTGACCAACTTGAACCACACCTCCACCTTTCTCGTACAATCCAGGAGTCGAATCATCCGTCGCTTCCTTTTCTTCCCATTGGGGCTAGGCACTCGAACTCCTCCCACACAAGGAGCTCCTTCGGACTTGAAGTCCTTCACGGTAGCGGGAAAATTAATTGCTCTATTACTGCCATCCCACCCAAGCTTATAACCCGGCACAACGTTATTCCCGCAGCTTGAAGTCAATCCCATGATTGTCACCCCAAACCTCATTAACATTGCCTTTCTTAGACAGCATCCAGGTAACCCCCAACCTTCAATCCACCCACTAACTGCACATACAATCCTCAATGCCCCTGGAAATGGCCAAACGCCCACCATTAAACTTTGAAGATTACATCCCTTCCGTTCTTTCCATGTGGCCACTTGTACGAGAGCATGACTGCCGAGGTCGCAGCCGGTTCCACCGAGAAAAAAATCCATTGTTGTAGTCTCGCGCGGCCTGATCGAACCGCAACCGCTCGCGATGACACATACACCTTCCAGCGTATTCGCTCGAGAGCACACGCTCTCCCTCAAACCACAGCCAGTCGTTCCTCCAACTTAGCATACGAGCTCCCTCAGTAGAGTTCGACTCCCCAACAAGTTCTTTTCCATTATCTTTTCTGGTTATATCCATCACCTGGCCGCTCCACTTTTCTGCTCCACGATTCCTTCCAAGTTTCCCATATGCGACCAAATCCCATGGAGTAATGTAGTTAAAGCAAGTAGTTACCTGTTATCCTTCTATTTCTCCAAGCAATTGGCCGCCCACTAGCTTCCCCTGTGTGGGACTCATCCTCTCTTCAGTGTTCCACAGTACTTCATCAATCCTTGCAGCATTACCAATTTTGGCTCCCATTGGACCGCCCCTCGTGATTGACGACGATGATGAATCGCCGGCCTCATCCCTCGTCGCGTCCCTCACCATCGTCATCGCCATCTCCATCGACTCCTCCTTCAGTTGCAAAGAGCTTCCCCGACGGCAAGTCCCGCCAACTTTCGACGCCGCCTCATCATCGGTCAACGCCTTCACGACAGCCACCATCATCTTCTGCCTCGTTTCCTCCTCCGACCATATGCATACCATCAGGTCGGGTTTCCCTTCACCGGGCACCTGCGTCGTCCGCCTCGCCATTGCCTTCTTCCCCTGCTCTTTTGGTTCAAGATCCGGGCCATCTCGTGGTCTCGGCTTTCTCCTGAATTTCCACCCATCAATTGGCCGGTTCAATTGAACGAGTACCGATCCGAAAATAGCATGGGTTAGGGATCGCACAACATCAGGAGTTGGTTGTGTTGCGGTGAGCGCCCGAAGCTGTTGTAGGTCGACAAAGATCTTCTCAAACGGGCCTTCTTCTTCAACCCCAGTTGGCGAGAGTATCGTGGAAACCTCCGTAGCGGCCGGCTGCTCTATGGTTATTGACCCCTCCTCAACATTCTTAGTCTCAATAAGGAACCCATCAATGGCCGGGGTGATTTGTGATGCCCCATCGTGCTTGTGCGCTGTTTCTGCAGAGGCCAGGACAACGCACTGGCCTGCGGTGTTGATGATGGAACAATAGTAGTGGAGACAGCTTCTATTGCAACGGCCTGAAGGTTCGACTGCTCTACCGCCACCATCATCACGGCCGCCGCCGCCACGCCCCTCCGCGCGCCGTCCGCGGCCACCGCGGCGCTCGCCTCCTCGTCCCCGTCCGCCAGCGGTTCTCCCGCCCCTAGGGATGGCAATCAAACCCATGACCGCGGGTATCCGACCGCCCCCGACCCAGTCAACGCGGGGAATCCCCGCTTTGACCGGGTATGGGGCGGGTATGGGTAAAACCCGCAAAAAGTTTGATGGGTATGGGGCGGGTATGGTTTTAGCCTCCCCCGCCCCATACCCATCCCCATACCCGCCCCACCGAGATAATTTCTTCATATATAAAAAAAATATGTGCATCAAATTATAATCTATCGATGATGAGTATAACTTGAGAAAATAAATAGTAGAAATGCAATTGATTGACCACCTTAATCAAAATCTAATTCATTTCTCTCAATTCTCATTTCACTCTTTCACTTTCCCCCTTGTCAACAAGATTATGTTAGTTAATTGTTATTTAGTAGATATATCAGAGTTAGAACATAATAATTTGAAAAATATTATACTCTATATTATGTATTAATGGTGATTTTAGGATCATAATCTTTGAACCATATTAAAAAATGACCGTGTTTTATTGACTTCATGATATAATATGTTCGTTTAGAATTATAATTAGAACTTTTCTTGTAAGTTTTAGGTATAATAATGTTGGATGTACGGGTATGGGTATTATCCATGGGTACCCGAAACCCACGGGTATGGGGATGGGTTTGCAAAACATTCCCCCGCATGGGTATGGGGCGGGTATGGGTTTGGGTATTTGAAGATGGGTATGGGGATGGTTTAAGCAAACCCGCCCCAAACCCGCCCCATTGCCATCTCTACCCGCCCCGCTCCTGCTACTGCCCCCTGCACCGCCGCCGCCAGCACCGATCTCCGCCGACCCCGCAGCCACCCCGGCACGCGCCAGCCTCCTCCCCCGCGCGCCCATCGCCCGCTCCTGCCGCCAGCGAGGGCGCTGTCCCTCTCGCGCGCCGCGTCGGGCCCGACGGTACGGGGACCACCTCGGACGGATCGGCCGCCTCTTCCGCTGTTGCTGCTGTCCACCCGCGTTCCTGAGCCTCACGCTTGAGTTCAGATAACGTGAACTCTATCAGCTGCTTCGTACGAGCCCATGCTGGATCAGTGAGTTTCGAAGGACTCATGAGGGCTCTGATACCAAATGATAGAAGCAAAGTTCCTATCGGTTTTGATATTTGGGGATTAGGGTTTATACGAACATAATTAGGGATTTGAGAAGAGAAAGATAGGGAATCGGACTAGGCCTTTAGAGGAGTTGGGAACGAGAATTGAGAGGATTGAGAGAATAGGGTTTAGGAGGGTTTTATTAATATTCTTCTTATTGATCGAATAGATGAATAAAAACGTATATATATAGGAACAGAACCACAAAACCCTAACAATTAACCTAATACGACTAAAAGACTAATTACTCTAATATAATAATAATTATAGAACCCGAACGGAAGTTGGTTTCTATCACACAGCGACGAACCATTCCGCCGACGGAATGTCCTACGTGCTACTGAGGCCACCTCCTCGTCGTCCGAAGCAACGGGCGCCGCCGCCACTACCTTCTTCCTCGTTTCTCCCTCCTTCCACGGACGAAACTCCATCTCCGGCGGTGCGTGGGAAAGCTCCCCTCCGTCTTCTATTTGCGCGGTTGGCGACTCTTCGGACAGCCCACGACGTCCGATCGCGGCGGGCACCACGGGGCGTCGCTCGGCCCTCTCCTCTCCCGTGCGCGGCGCGGCCTCGACCATCGCGGGGCGCTGCTGCTCGGCCCGACCTCCTCCAGCGCGCGGCGCGGTCTCGACCGACGAAGGGGGGCGCGCGATTGGGGCGGCGTCAGACAGCTCGACCGCCGGCTCTTCGGGCAGCCAACGGCGGCCGATGCGGGCAGGCTCTGTCCCGCAATTCTGCCC